TGCGGCGGCGGATGGAAAGCCCTAATCCTGATGGCTCTCGACCTAAAGGCCGACGTGATGACCTTGGGGAGAAAAGCCGGATTGGGCCACAATTCCACCATGCCGTCGTCCTCTCCAAAGGACAGGCAAGACGCATGGACGGAGAGCGCACACAAATCGCCCGCCCTCTTAGCAGACGCCAACGCCAGCAAGAGGGCCGTCTTAAAAGCGATACACTCGGGACTCGCCTCCGCCGCCGGTTCAAAAGGCGGACCCGACAGCCCCCTAAGGACCACCCTGAGGTCCCAAACCGGAGGCGTTCTCTGGAGCGGGGGCCTCCTCCTGCGCGCCCCCCGCAGAAAACGTTTTACCAACGGATGAGAACGGGCTGTGAACCCCCCGAATCCGTCGTGACCCGAAGAAGTAAGGAAGCGACAGCCCTCCCCTTGTCGAAGAGCTCCTGTAGGAATCCCAGGACCCCCTCCAGCGGGCAACACCTGGGATCCAGATCTCCGCAGCTACCCGTGGGGCCAGGCCCCACTCGTCCTGGAGTGGGCCCCCCCCTGGACATCCTGTCGGCTCCCACGTTCCGGACTCCCGGGACGTGGCGCGTCCTGAGAGACAGGAGGTGAAGCGCCGCCCACAGCAGCGTCACCGTCGCCATGCGATGGAGAGCGGGGGACCTGGTGCCCCCCTGCCTGTTCAGATAGGAGACCACTGTGGTGTTGTCTGAGCGCACCATCACGTGTCTCCCCTGCAGCTGAGGGGCAAAGTGCAGCAGTACTCTGTGCACTGCCTCTATCTCCAGCAGGTTGATGTGACGGGCTGAGTCCGACCAGCAGCCTCCTACAGAGCTCTGGCCGAGGACCCCGCCCCATCCTTCGAGCGACGCGTCCGTGAACACCTCGACGTGAGACACGGCGCAGGCCAGAGTCACTCCGTCCCGCAATAGTCCCGGAGTGAGCCAGAACCTGATGTCCGATGCTGCCACTTGGGGAACCCAGATCAGCCTCCCCCCGTCCCGGGAGGGGTGAAGCCTGAGGCGCGAGAACCACCTCTGAAAATTTTTCATGTGGAGCAGGCCTAGCCGCACCACAGCATGAGCCGCCGCCATCATTCCCAGCAGGGACCTGAGGCGCCGAGCGGGGACTCTGGGGCCCGCCAGAACCTCCCGGGCCAGACGGGTAATATTCATCCGTCTGTCCACGGACAATGCAGCACGGAATGTCACAGAGTCTAGCTGCAGGCCGAGATAGATCATGCGCTGAGCCGGTTGCAGCCTGCTTCTACGTCATGGTGCTACGTCCCTTAGCGGACTTCGCTAGTGGGATAACACGTGCAACTATTCGTAGAACTTAAGTTACAATAGGTAACTATTAATTTTCTCCCTGTTCACCACAGAGCCCAGGCGCTGTATGTGGGACAGGACCCAGTGCGTGTGACACTTCCCTGGATGATGCCAGAATTAACCAGTCGTCTAAGCAGGTTAAACTCCTACCTCTGCGCGTCTGAGCGGCTCCAGTGCCGCTTCCACGCATTGGAAAAGTCCGAGGCGCGAGTGCATAAGTACTCGTAATTCCTCTCTCCCACTGCGAAGCGCAGAAACCTCCTGTGTTCTGGCACTATGGGCATGTGGAAGTACGCATCTGTCGGGTCTATGGAGGACATCCAGTCTCCCTCCCTGACACACTCGAGTAGCTGCTTTGTGGGCAGCATCCGAAACTTCCGTTTGGAAAAGCACTCGTTCAACACGCGCAGATCCAGAATGGGACGCACCCCGCCTGACTTCTTTGGCACTAAGAAGTAAGGGGAGTACAGCCCCCTGGTGGCGTCCTGCGGGTCTACCTCCACTGCTGCGCCTCGACTCAGCAGAGAGGAGACTTCCGCTTGCAGTGCCTCTATTGATCCCCGTACCTGAGAGCGTACTGCCCGTACGCCTCGGAATGGTGGTGGCTTTCGGAAGAATTGCAGTGCGGAACCCCTGCGCAATGTTTTCTCCAGCCATATACTGTCATCCAAACCCAGCTCCCTCCAGATGCTGTAGAAGTCTGTGAGGGGCGGAACGGGAGCTGAAACACGAGACGTCACGGCCCCGCCCTCTCCTGGTATTCCTAGCAGGAAGGGGGGGTGGCCGAAAGGGCCGGGGGGCCCCCTGCGTCACACCGTGAGCGCCGGGGGCGGTCACGTGTTCTGCAGGCCCGACGTCATAAGTACGGGACTGCTCACCACACGTGACTCGGCTGCTGTGCCCCCCCCTGGCTCTTGCCTCATGGAGGGGGGGGCGAGCCCCTGGAGTGGGAAACCCCGTGTTAGCCTTGTAGCTCTGCTCACCACACGTGACTCGGCTGCTGTACCCCCCCCTGGCTCTTGCCTCATGGAGGGGGGGGCGAGCCCCTGGAGTGGGAAACCCCGTGTTAGCCTTGTAGCTCTGCTCACCACACGTGACTCGGCTGCTGTGCCCCCCCCTGGCTCTTGCCTCATGGAGGGGGGGGCAAGCCCCTGGAGTGGGAAACCCCGTGTTAGCCCTGTAGCTCAGAGATGCTAACACGCGTTCGGCCGAAGCACACACATATCACTCACCAGATCCCTCCGCCTGACCTCTCTCTGGGAGGGCATAGTATGGATCAGAGAAACCGGAGCTCGTAGTTCGCGTAGTGCACTGCACGCCCCTCTCTGGGGCTGCAGGCCTAGCGAAGCAACGTTATGTGCCCGGGAAGTAACACAATCAGAATTCACAATATTTGACATGTTACATACCCCCAAATCAGACTCAGAAAAGTAATGATGAAATGCCGGTCGGCCTTTATTGAAGGAAAAATTTTCCACCCCGGCCTCCTCTACCATAGGGAGGTCGGTGGTGGGTGCGTTGCTCCCGCGAGCCACCCATGGGTCTGTCTGGACCCGGGGGCCTCGTCGAGGGGGGACGATGGATAACAGAGCGCGGATACGGGTCAGGATGCCTCCCGGGCCAACGCTCTCTGCCTCTGTCCCGGCTCCGTAATGGCTGGTGGGCCTCGCGCCTCGGTGCTAGGTGCGGGGCTAGCCTAGCCGAGTCTTTAGCTGCAGACTCCAGTCTCGCCACCCAGGCCTGCATGTCCGGGCCGAAGAGGGACATCTGAGAGGTGGGCAGGTCCAGCAGCTGCCTCCTCTCCGCCTCCCTGATATTAGCCAGCCCAAGCCAAAGGTGCCTGGCCCGACTTGGGCTGCTGCCATGGAGCGGCCACCATCCACAGCTAGCGTCTGGCACATGCGCAGAGTCGCCGCCGAGGTGGTCCTCGCCTGTGACAGGAGGTCTCCACTGAGCGCCTGGTCAGAAGAGAGCAACATATCCAGGGCCCCCGTGATGAATGCCATGTTGTTAGTCAATGCGAGGACCTGTGCTGCAATGGCATAACATCTATCCAGCATCGCCAAGACATCCTGTCTCGCTCGGAGGGAAGGAGAGGTCTGGTGCCGGGCCACACGAATGCGGAGGGCTGCAGGGCCATGCGGACTGAATCCTCGGTGTCCTGGCCACCATCCACGGCTAGCGTCTGGCACATGCGCAGGATCGCCGCCGAGGTGGTCCTCGCCTGTGACAGGAGGTCTCCACTGAGCGCCTGGCCAGAGGAGAACGCCCTATCCAGGGCCCCCGTGATGAAAGTCATGTTGTTAGCCAATGTGACAACCTGTGCCGCATTGGCATAATATCTATCCAGCATCGGCAAGACATCCTGTCCCGCTCGGAGGGAAGGAGAGGTCTGGTGCCGGGCCACACGGATGCGGAGGGCTGCAGGGCCATGCGGACTGAATCCTCGATCACCGGTCCAGGACCAGTCCTGCCCGCTGCAGTATATGTCGTACCCCAGAGCAGGCCTCTTGGCTGCTAGGGGCTTAGGCCACTAACGTGTCGCGTAATGGACGAACGGGTCCATCCGCGGGCACAACGTGGGTTGCATCCTCCTCCTCCCTCGAGTGGTGGCACCCACAGAGGTGAAGTCCTCCACCGTCTGGATCCAGTGACGACGTCCGACGCCGGAGGGCGAAGGGAACTCGGACGAACAAGGAAGACATCTCAGAATGAAGTAAGTACTGTGGTAGATCTCAAACGGCGCAAGAGTGAACTGCTCCAGGCACAGCCATGAACTCCTCCACGAGGCAGTCCCAGATGGCTGCCACCACATCTGGGATGAGCATGGAGACGGTGGATATGCCCACTCTGAAGCTCCCCGCAATGGTCCTGTAGGAGTCCCCAGTGGCAAGAAACCTGCAATTACAAAATGATATGAACATATTTATCACAATTACATTCATAAAAATCACGTGACAAAACTTGTGTAGCATAAAATACGTTAAACTAGTAGACAGTAAACATCATAGACAGTAATCATAGACACCATATTGTTGCATAATACTGTTTTCTGAGCTATTACATTGTGGATTGTGATTGAAAAATGACACACTTTGTAAGTATTTAGGAATTCCGAATGGGGTAAAAAACACTAACCGCAGACAGATGGACAGGCGCTCTTCAGCTGGAATAGAGCGCCTGTAGTTGGTGTCCTGGTAGGAGATCCTAGCGCCAATGCGGGTCAGTAGGTCGTCAAACTGGGCCAGGGAGAGACGAAAGTATCGCTGAAAGCGACCCTCATCCGAGCGCAGCTCCCGGAGCAAATGGTGAAACTCACCAAACTCCAACCGTCTACGGACTATCTGATGAATCCAGACACGTCGTCAATTCGCCCTTTGACGACGTTGTCTCGCTTTATTTAACAGATAGAGCCAAGCAACTCCTTCGCTGACATCCATGTTGGGAAGCTACAGGCAAAAGAGACAAGCCCCGCCCCTAAACGCTCTCAACGCTCTGTGACAGCGGCTGCCCTCTAGTGTCCTGGCCGCGCGGCCAAGTTTCTCTGTGACAGCGGCTGCCACAATTTGTCACAAGCGGCCCAAGCCGCGCGATAGACGCGATTTGGCCGCAGAAATCGCGTTTGGTCTGAACGCAGCATAAGGCTAGCCTCAATGACAGAACCACCGCTCCGATGTTTGCAAAGGTGACATGTCGCTCGTGGTCGCGGGTTTTCGACAACATAAAACCACATTATTTCTCCGTGAGAGTAAAACATGAGACGAGTGTTAAGGACTGTCGCAGAAGCAGGGTTTTAGCAGTATGCGGACTCCGGGTGTCCAGAGGAGCCAGGGGGTTCTCCACAGACCGAGTGCTGTGTGCCAAAACACGGAGAGACTCAAAGAGAGAGCTGTCAGAGAAGAAACTGGTGAGTAGTCACTTCTTGTCAATGTATAATGGCAATAATGATTAAACAGCAAAGACACAGCACATGTTATTATTCATTCGCTCCATACTGTGGTAAAGTACTACTGTAGCCACACCAGCCCTAGGGCAGACTGACAAAAGCGTGGCTGTTTGCCTTTCGTAACATCGGCCCCTCCACCAGCGATTCAAGCACAAAGACACCATTTTAGACAATATTTAAATATCTTACAACCTCCAGACATAGCATTAACAACACAACTTTATTTTTTAATGGTTGGTTAGTACTATTTTATTATCCTTCTTACTATCTCCTAGCCCCTAAAAAAGTTCTATCAAAAGTTTTACGTGCATGTATTTTGGACTTTCACATAAGCTTTTTAGACGCAAATAAGAGGAGACCACTTCACTCAGCCAATCTGCTCTCAGTCACAGGGATGTTAAGTACTATACTAGTATGATAGGTTTATTATGATGAACATATATTTTCTCAAAATGTTACTTTTACAAGACCCTGTGTCCTGTAGAAATAGGCCAATTATTACCAATACATGTTCTTATTTTATTTGATATTTTGGATAACTGGGCTTGTTCACACTAAAGAGCACAAAAGTGTGACAAAAGGCCAAAAATTAGATTTTAATAATCAGAAAGATATTTTATGTTTTTCATGTTTCCAAACACCACCTCTGTTCATTAAAGTTGCTAGAACATAACTGTTTTATACATTAGACAAGTTTCCTATAGTGGCCCTGTTATTTTATGTAACGGACGTGATGATTTGACGGAATGGGCTTTGTGGAAGTTTGATAGGTATTTTTAGAGGTCCACATTTGATTCAGAGATTCTATATTTTTACACAAAGTAGATGCAAAGTGATACTTTCATATTGTCAAGCAATTAAATGTGAAAACAGCCCAGATTTTTTTTTTCTCAAGTTTAATTTTTAGAGAAAAGAGGACCGTCCTCATCACGTCCGTTATACATTTTTCAGGGATAATTTAATTAATTAATTATTTTTGTGATTTCCTTCTGTTGTGTTAACCATGTAAATCTTGTGGGATTTCATTTTCTACTTTTTCAGACCGAAGACATTTTATTTTCTATGTAACTGGCGTCACAGTAGAATGGTCCAATCAGAGGCTGATTTAGTCGTTTAAAATGTCGCTAAAATTTGTTTTCTTTTTTTGGATTTTTTCCACATCTATATCTTCAATGTGTCTGTGTTTGAAAACTTTTTTCCTATTTATGAAAGTTAATTTTAGTTTTTAAGTTATGCGGATTTAAAGTCCAGATACTTTAATTGTCACTTTACTGCGTGAACAGTATCTAATCTACATATTTTTCTATCTCTTTAGACATGGAAACTGTTCAAATCAATGCAAAGAGCCGCCTTTCTGTTTTATATTAATTAATCTGGTTTATCTTTTATTTATTTGAATCTAAAACAATTCCATGCCATTGAAGGGCCAATCCGATGGTAAACTTAGCAGTGCCTGAAAGTGATTAGTTGGAATTTATGTCTGGATACTTCAAAAATATTGTGAAAAGTAGAATAAAGTTAAGCAAAACACATTCAATAACTCATATTTTTCAAATTTCTAATGGATATATATTGACTGAAACCAATTCTCTGTTCAGACTCGATATTTCGTGGACTACCGCCGTGTGAGACTGGTGGCCGGCGCCGGTGGAAAAGGCGCCTGCAGCTTCCACAGTGAACCTCGCAAAGAATGGGGCGGTCCTGACGGGGGGAACGGAGGAGAGGGGGCAGCATCATCATTAAGGGTCGGTGAAAAGGAACATACTAATATTCATAGCCCCGTTTTTTAACAGCCCTAATTGGCTCGACTCTACTCTTCTCTCCCTAGTTTCCAGTACTCAATGGTATGCTAGCAGCCGACCCACACCAAACCAGTCTGGGGAAATGCTGTGGTAACCATGGCTTCCAGAGCTGCACTCTGGCTTATCTCTGTCAGTTAGAACATTTAGTGCAAGGTCGGCTTGGATTAAACAAGAGAAAAAGAAACGTACCTGTTAATGAGCTGGTGGAAACACTCCCAATCGAGAGTAGAGTAGAGTAGAGTAGAGTAGAGTAGAGTAGAGTAGAGTAGAGTAGAGTAGAGTAGAGTACATTACATTACATTACATTACATTACATTACATTAGATTAGATTACATTAGATTACATTAGATTACATTAGATTAGATTACATTAGATTACATTAGATTACATTACATTAGATTACATTACATTAGATTACATTAGAGTAGAGTAGGTGTAAAGTAGGCCAAGTTGGGCTGGTGGAAATGGGCTTGAATTTCTAAGAAGTATTCAAAGATCTAATCGATATATTTACTTACAGCTGACCGGGTGATTAAATCCCTGGCACAGGTCGTTTCCATTTACCAGGGGCAGAACGGCCAGTCGGGGGGCAGCAAGAACTGTTATGGTCGCAATGGCTGTCCAACCTTTATAAAAGTGAGTGCACGGTAAACAGTGGAATCAACTTCAGTTTCTGTTTGTTGATGAATTGTTTCTTTCTTAAAGGTACCTTTGGGCACCATAGTAAAGGAGCAGGGCGAAACAATCGTGGACCTCTCTGACCACGGCCAGGAGTTTGTGGCTGTGTTTGGCGGAACCGGGGGAAAGGGGAACCGTTTTTTCCTGTCCAATGAGAACCGCGCTCCAATGACGGCCACTCCAGGAGAGGTCGGCGAAGAACGGATCCTACAGCTGGAGTTACGCACTATGGCACATGCAGGATTGGTGCGTAGGAAGAGGGTTTTCTGGCATACGCTTTCAGGAGTTATATTTAAATATCTGACATGCAATGATCTTTAGAATATTTCTTTTGGGATTTTGTGTTGCGGAGTATTTCTGCACAAAATACATTCAATTCAATTCAATGTAATTTAGTACTTCCATAAATCACATAAGTATGAGGCTATATTCATATTAGAAATGACATAAACTCATTTGGAGTGACACTTGGGTACTTGGGGGCGACAGTAGCTCAGTTGGTAGATCATTGGCCTCTGGGCCTGAAGGTCGTGGGTTTGAGCCTACCATGGGATCTACTCCAACTGCTCCCACAAATGCCTCCTGTCGTTGTGTCCGTGGGCAAGACACTTAACCCCATGTTGCCTGAAGCCCTTGCTGAAAGAACAAGGCTGCGTTATCAGCGAGAGACTGGTGCTATGAGCATTGGGTGGCAGCTCTCATTGTCCCCCCCTCGATCCAGAAATGGACTAATAAAGGGGTTGAAAATTAAATGAAAATGAACTTGGTTATTATATATTATATCTATATTATATTATCTATTATGTCTAATATAGATAAAATCTCAAGAGTGAGCCTGCAAGAAAAATATCACGTTCTTATACAGTGATCCCAATTCAGCAAATGTATTTTTTTATTAAGTCCTGCAATATTGTGAGTTCATTTTATGACGCCCATATCTTCTGAGGGATGCGAAGATATGGACGGATACATCCTGTACATTTGGTTGTCTGTAAAGGATTTGAATATTCGATCAAGCATTTTCTGATGAGTTCCCGTTATTGGTTGACTGCCATTTCATCTGATGTATGCAGTATAAATGTTGTTTCGTTTCCAGGTTGGCTTCCCGAACGCTGGTAAATCGTCTCTACTGAGGGCCATCTCAAATGCTAAGCCGGCTGTAGCTGCGTACCCCTTCACCACTCTCCATCCACATGTGGGAATTGTTAATTATAGGGATCACGAGCAAGTAGCAGGTACGCATCATATCATCTCCTTAGAATAGACAAGAACCTATCTGAGGCTTTAAGTGGAAGTCATTTGTACATCTATCAAATTTGCTTTCAGGACTCTTACTTTGCAATTTGTAGGTACATGATACATACATTACCATATTGTGTATTTTTCCTCATGAATACTCAGAACTTGATAGTAAAATGAACAGAATCATGTATGCTTTAATTTTTGTCCCTCATACATGATCTTGACCAGCAAAGTCTTTATGATTCATACCTACATACTTTAGTTTAGACCAGGGTGTCAAACTAAGTGCATTTTAAAATGTTGAAAGAAAAAAAATAAGAAAAGCTTGTGCCATTCAGGACCGAAAGACAAAGCTCTCGATTTACCGGTCAATCTATGTTCCCACCATCACATATGGTCATGAGCTGGAGGCAGTGTGTGTTGAGAGGGAAGTCTGGGCGTCTCTGCTTAGACTGCTTCCACGTAACCCGGTGTAGTGGTTTTTAATTCAAATAACTTTCACCAAAAGCCGAAAGTAAAGTTAAGAGAGTGCTTTTTATTCATTTAGTTTCAGCATGAGGAAAACCGTCAGTCAGCATGGAGTCCGTGCACAAGACTGAAAATCCTGTCCTGGTTCCTGTGTTTTAATACTCTCTGTCCGAGTTCCATAAATGGAAATCATGGCAGTGGCCAGATAACTTAAAGCAAACCAGATGTTTCCTAATGACTTGTTCCCAAATATGTTTGCCTCATACCTTCTGGGTCACCTTGACATCTAGTGTTAGGCTCTTCCTAACACAGTGCAGAGAACATTCCACTGCACTTAAGAAATAATAATAATAGTCAAACAAACTTGATTATGAATGAAAGATGGCGCCTCGTATGGTCGACATGGCTCTTTGCTGCTCTCTTTTTCTATTGTTTTTACTTTTTAACTGCACATCTGGCTGTTCCTACACCCGTGAGGAACTTATGAACATCCGACCCACCGTCCCCATGGACCTATTGCCTGTTTTCTTGGCATCTGCGGCTGATTTAGTCCATGTTCGGGCCAAAAAAGTGTGGGCCCGTAAAAGGGGAAAGCGCGGAGGCCTGCTCGTGCGTCTTAGGAGGAGAGGAGCGCGCACGGCTCTCCCCGGCATTTTTCTCTCCAATGTACGCTCACTGGGCAATAAGATGGACGAACTCAGCCTGCTCATGAGCAGAAACAAGGACTTCACCACATCCTGTGTCCTCTGCTTCACTGAGACCTGGCTAAATGAGCGGATCCCGGACTGCGCTCTGGAACTGCAGGGTTTTGGGCTGTTCCGCGCGGATCGCCATTGTGCGCTCTCAGGGAAGAGCAGAGGCGGAGGGCTCTGTTTCTACGTCAATATAAACTGGTAACGATGTGACAGTGATCTCCAAGCACTGCTCTCTTGCTCTTGAATATCTTTTCATTCATTGTAAACCATTTACTCCCCTCGTGAAATTGTTTCATTCATTCTTGCCTCTGTTTACATACCGCCATGCGCGGACGCGCGCGAGGCTCAGCGCGCACTCGCAGAGCAAGTACTGTGTATGGAACGCTTATACCCGGACTCTCTGATTATTATCCTGGGGGATTTTAATAAGGGAAACTTGAGCCAGGAATTACCCAAATATAGACAGTTTATCAAATGCCCGACCAGAGAGGAGAACACTCTGGATCACTGTTACACCACCGTGCGCGGAGCTTTTTGCACTGTTCCCAAGGCAGCCCTCGGCTTCTCAGATCACTCCATGATACATCTGGTTCCTGCTTACAGACAGAGACTAAAGCTCCTCGAAACCTGCAGTGAGGAGCTCCAAAGTGTGGTCTGATGAAGCTGTGGAAGAGCTGCGCGCATGCATGGAATCTACAGACTGGGACCTTTTCAGAGCTGCCACAGATAGTTTGGATGAATATACGGACCCTGTGACGTCATACATCACTTCTGTGAGGATAGCATCATTCCAGCAAGGACCAGGGTCATATATAACAATGACAAACCCTGGTTCACTGCTAAACTCCGGCACCTCAGGAAAGCAAAGGAGTCTGCTTTCAGGGAGGGGGACCGCGGCGGCTACAAAGCAGCTAAATATCAGTTCAGGAGAGAACTGAAAGCAGCCAAGTCCCGGCACAGAGAACGACTACAGGAGCAGTTTGGTAACAACGATACTGCTTCTGTCTGGAGGGGCCTACGGGAGATCACCAACTACAAACCCAAAGCCCCCCCCTGTGCTGACGACCACAAGCTAGCTGACGATCTGAACTTATTTTTCAGTCGCTTTGATGCTGCTCCTGACACCTCTCCCTCCCCCACCCCCCACTACTCTAACGACCCACCCATCAGCCCTGCCCCCAGCCTAACAATAGCCTCTAAAGAGATTAAACAACTCTTCTTGAGGCTGCACCCCCGCAAAGCTCCTGGCCCGGACCACGTGTCTCCGGCACTCTGAGATACTGCGCCAGTGAGCTTACTCCTGTGTTCACTGACATTTTCAACACCTCTCTGCAGTCCTGCCATGTCCCGGCCTGCTTCAAATCCTCCATCATTGTCCCCGTCCCGAAGAAGCTCAGGATCACAGGACTCAACGACTACAGACGTGTAGCACTTACGTCTGTCGTCATGAAGTCATTTGAACGCCTGGTTCTCTCCCATCTCAAGTCCTTCACCTCCCCCCTCCTGGACCCCCTGCAGTTCGCCTACAGAGCCAACAGATCTGTAGACGACGCCATTAACCTGGCACTCCACCACATCCTACAGCACCTGGACTCCCCGGGGACCTACGCCAGGGTCCTGTTCGTGGATTTCAGCTCTGCCTTCAACACAATCCTGCCATCCCTGCTCCAGGACAAGCTCTCCCAGCTCAACGTGCCCGATTCCACCTGCAGGTGGATCACTGACTTCCTGACGGACAGGAAGCAGCGAGTGAGTCTGGGGAAGAATGTCTCGGACTCTCGGATTATAAATTCAGGAGCCCCACAGGGCTGTGTTCTTTCTCCCCTGCTCTTCTCCCTGTACACCAACCACTGCACCTCCAGCCACGACTCCGTGAAGCTGCTCAAGTTTGCGGACGACACCACCCTCATTGGACTCATCTTCAACAACGATGAGTCCGCCTACAGGAGGGAGGTGGACCGGCTGGTGTCCTGGTGCAGTGGTAACAACCTGGAGCTGAACGCCCAGAAGACAGTGGAGATGATTGTGGACTTCAGGAAGAGCACTGTCCCCCCGCCCCCACCCTCCGTGATGGACTCCCCCATCACCTCTGTGGAGTCCTTCCGTTTCCTGGGCACCACCATCACCCAGGACCTCAAGTGGGAGCCGACCATCAGCTCCCTCATCAAGAAGGCCCAGCAGAGGATGTACTTCCTGCGGCAGCTCAGGAAAGCCAAGCTGCCTGCACAGATGTTGGTGCAGTTCTACACGGCCATCATCGAGTCCATCCTCACCTCCTCCATCACCGTGTGGTTCGCTGGAGCCACAGTCAGGGACAAGCAGAGACTACAGCGCATTGTGCGCTCTGCAGAGGAAGTGATCGGCCGCAGCCTTCCATCGCTGCAGGACCTGTACGTCGCCCGAGCTCGAGGCCGGGCTGGTCGTATCACAGCCGACCCCTCTCACCCTGCACATGGACTATTCCAACCACTCCCCTCAGGGAGGAGGCTGCGGTCCATCAGGACTAGAACCTCCCGCCACAAGAACAGTTTCTTCCCCTCTGCTGTTGGACTCTTGAACACTTCTTAACCTGTCCCCCCGCCCTTTATAAAGTCACTTTACTGCCCATCATACGTCACTTTACTTCACTGTACTGCTGTCACCTTACATTGTGTGCACCATGTGCACTTGTATATTGTAAATAGTAACTGTAACTCTATTTTAAATTTAAATTGTATTCTTTAGAAGTGTTTTTTATTCTTATTTTTATTATCTCTTTCTGACTGTTGCACTGAGCCAAAGCAATTTCCAAGTCTGTGACCTCCTTTTACTTACGTGGCAATAAAAATGATTCTGATTCTGATTCTGATTCTACCACATATTTCCCCCCCTTTCATGGCTCCCAGCCATGAATAAGTTCCTTCACTAACTTTTCCTGGCCCTTATCGAAGCAGTCACATGAGCTACACAATGTTGTCAATCAGTTATCATCGTGCACATTACAGAGTAATTTTAAACACTTGACACACAATACATGATGCATAACAATGTCACTCTTGAATGTAGGTGGTGGCAGAACTTGGCTCACACTTGCACTGTACATTATTTTGATTAAACATAAAACACTCAACATGTCCAATGTAGGTTCATCAGTCGTCAAAAGTCTTACTGTCACAGTCCTGTGAAACCCTGTCTGTCCAGTTTAGATCCGTCCTAATCACATCATTAATTTCTGTAGGTTTTTAAATTCACCCTATAACTGCTTATCTATTGGGTTGTCTCCCTCTACGTCAGTCATCAGTAGGTCAGGATCTTGGTTTTGGCCATTCAGGCTATCAGGTCTGTCCTACTCTGTCCAGTCAGGTCAGTGTCTGCCTGATCATTCTAAATGGGTTTGTCAACTAGGTGACGTATGTCATGGTTGGCAGGCTCTTTCTGTGGTCGCTGGGCTCTGGCATCAGTTTTGTCAGTCAGTTCTGGTGAGTCCATCAGTCTCCTTTGGATGGGCAGCTCCTTTTTTTCAGTCCAGTCATTTAGTTCTGAGGGTTTCAACAGTCTCTCCTGAATCAGTGAATCTCAAGAAGCAATTTCAGTCCCACGTTCTGTGTGTACAGTTCCTTCATTATGTCCTGTTTAGTCTGGGCCAACAGTCTAGGCCACCAGTGTGTCTTGGTCCTTTGCATCATTTATTTGTAGTCTTTGTAGCCCGGAGGTTTCAGTTTCACTTCCATTTTCCAAATTTTGGTCCACAGTCCATAAAGTCTCTGTCACAGTCTCATCTTTATCCTCACGTTGACCTAATCATCTTCGTCCTCCCGAGTGTCCAAACGATTCCAAAAAATTATAGTTTC